ATATATATATATATATATATATATATATATAGGCATGAAACGCCAAGAAAAACGGTTCCATGATAAAGAAAAAAAAAACGATTTCAGCTAACTTCTGCTAGGAAACTTAGATTTTCCATTCAGCGAATCCGTGAATCTGCGCATACATGTGCGTGCAGAAATGGGTTGAGAGCGTATATATATATATATATATATATATATATATATATATATATATAAATGAATATTGATTTTAAATGTTTTTAACGGATACACGTATGATTTATGCACGTACTGAATATTATTTGCTTAAAATCAATTAAATTGAATTAAGAATACAATATAAAACATTTATAAATATTTAGATTGATATAAATATATATATAGATAGATATATATATATATATAGATAGATATTGATAGATACTTTTTATGGATGGACGTATGAGATAGATACTGAACAGATAGATAAATAGATAGATAGAATTAAGAATACAATAAAAAACATTTATAAATTTTTAGATTGATATAAACAGACTGGGATAGATAGATAGATAGATAGATAGATATGATAGATAGATGATAGATAGATAGAAAATGAACAGATAGTAGATTTGAACAGACTGATAGAATGATATGAACAGATAGATATGAACAGATTGAAAGATAGACATGAACAGATAGATGGATATGAACATACTGGTAGATTAATAGACAGATAAACAGATAGATATGAACAGACTGATAGATAGATAGATAGATAGATAGATAGATAGATAGATAGATAGATAGATAGATAGATCATATAAAGACCAATATATATATGAACAGACATCATGAAACTAGATATATCATGAAAAGACTACGGTAGATAGATATGAAAAAAACTGATGAATATATAGATAAGAACAGGCTGATAGATAGATAGATAGATAGATAGATAGATAGATAGATAGATAGATAGATAGATAAATCATGACAAGACTGAGATAGAAAGATAGATAGATAGATAGATAGATAGATAGATAGATAAAATATGTGGAATAATGGAAATATATATTTGGGAATTTGTGTGAAGAAATAAAAATAACTATAGATATATATATTAAAATATCACTAAATATCCACGTCTAGCGTCTCCTCTGCTTGCATCAAAATCGATCTTTTAGCAGAAATGTGTCATGTCAGTCCATTTCCAACCTCTCAACTTCTGATCGAAATGGAACTGCTTTAGCTTTTCGAAGGTCGACTCATCCGACGAAATGTGAATTTGAAACGTCTCGGCAGAGACTCGTCGGATGAGCCGAACATTGCACACGTTCGCAAGCTGGCTCGATTTACACGCCAATCGTATACAATGTTACAAAGTAATTTCCTAACATGTGGCTAGTTTGGCACAAGGCTATATCAGTGCAACACCCGTGAGAAACAAACTCCCTACATTAGCATGTTAAATGGACTTTCTCGATTACAAACGGGAGTAGATCGTATTTATAGAATTATGACGTTTAGGTTTATCTAGGACAGCGTCGAGGATATTTTATTTTACATATCTGCAATATTATTGGTCCAAATCTGACACCTCGGTTTCAGGCAGTTTACCCATCCCTCTAACGTTGCTTCATCGTCCGTTTTCTAGAAATAGTTTCTTGGTAATTCTTTTGATGTGATTTCCTTTTTGGTATCTTCGACATTAAAAATGTAAGCGTAATACTAGATCTACCGCAAGGAATGTTGGTTCACTGTGTCACGTTAGAAAGTTTTTTTTTGTCGCCTCAGTTCATCCTTCAAATCTATAAATCAACCATTCGCTCTTTCATGGAATACTGCTGCCATAACGAAACTGCTCTCATTTACCCACCATAGAGAACCTTAGCCTACTCCACGAAAGCGCCTTTCTGCGCCTGCTTGGTCTCATGCTGTCCGCTGACCTGAGATGGAACAGATACATTGAATCTATAGCTTCATCTACCGCAAGGAAAGTTGGTTCTCTGTGTGGCGCCAGAAACCTTTTTTCTCGGCTGAGTCCATCCTTCGAATCTATAAACCAACCATCCGCCCTTGCATGGAATGTATCGTCTAGAGTCCCCGTTGTTCGTCTTAAGGTCTTCGACAAAATCCAGAGACGAGAGTCTGGCATCTCGCCTACAGTTACTTTCTCACAGACGTGCAGTCGCTCCCTTCTGTCTTTTCTACACGTACTTCCACGGTAACGGCTCCGACGAGCTATTTTCGCTGGTTCCCAAACTGCATGAATTTAAGCTTGTTACTAGGTTGGCATCTCAATCCCACCCTTTCACTGTTGAAACGGTTAAATGTAGTCGTCTCTTTTACTTCAATAGCTTCAGGTCTTGCACTTCCCGTCTGTGTAACTCCCTTCCTCTTATTTGCTTCCCTTACAGTTATAATCTTCAAATATTCAAATGTAATGTCAATCGACATCTTCTGATGCATTGATCTAATTCTGCGTCCTTCTCTTTATCCTTTATCATGTCTCTTTACTCGTGTTCTCAATCTCTGTAACTCCTTGCGTGCTAGTGGCCCTCCTGCCTTGCTTGGGGTGAAATGCTTAAAAAGAAAAAAAGAAAAAGAAGATTAGCGGCTAGGTCTCATCACAGGAAAAAATAGAGTTGAATACGGCGAGAAAGAAGAAAACAAGAAGAAAAAAATGAAGAGAAAGAAAGAAAGACAATAAAAATAAATCTATTTGCTTTTTTAAAAAATTTCTGAACTTAGAGCAATCTCTCTTATGTCACAGTTTTTTAAATACAACTTTGTACTAGTGAGCCAATCAAAATGAGCTGACTCATTTTATAGTCCACCAAGAGAAGGGTTAACCAATCAGAAAGCTCAAAATATTCAATCCGACGTGTATAAAGGCAGCCATTTTGTTTTTTCTCCCAAAATATCTTCACTGCTAACCTGATATTGAAGACTTAAAGAATTACTTAACAGCTGCTACTTTCTTCGAATCTTCACTGCCAACCTCTGATATTGAACACATTACGGACTTCACTGGATTCCATATTCAGAGACTACGGCAAACATGGTCAACATCTTCAGCTCAAACAAAAACGATTACAATTGGCTGGCCAGGGAAATCGTCTCATCTTTACTCGTATGACATCCTTCTGGAAGTGTCATCACACGAAAATTTGACTTTCCCAGACACCGTAGCTCGGAACTCAGGGTTGGACATTGAGGATCTAGGGAAAGCAATGCAGGACCGAACAGTATGGAAAGGGATTATCAATGGAGTTCCGACTGACCATAAAAAGGTTGCAGGATGATGATGATGATGATGATGATGATGATGATGATGATGATGATGATGATCAAGTACCTCTCCTCGTATATGACAATACGGATTGGACAATTACCTTGCAGAATCAAAGGGGTTTGACGCGACAGAGACGTGGTTCTATGGACGGTCGCTGATAATTCTATAGACAGAACCCGTGAGCAACTAGGATCTAGAAAGACTCTCAGACGTAAGAGACATACTGAAACATTACGAGGCAGGACGGCTTGGAAAACTTACTACTTACAAGACATGTTGGCGGAAGGAGTGGTAGAGGGCCACAGCCAACAAGTTATGAAAAGAGTTTGTATGAATGGATGTTAGAGCATGGACAAGTAGGAATGGTAAAGGGTGAAAAGTTTCGCTCGATTTGTGAGTTTAGTCCTCCATGGGCGCCATTGTACCATGGCCTTGTACCAGAGCTTAGCAACGCTTAGAAAGTAAGAAATAATAGGAAAGGCAAAAAGCTAAAAAAAAAACCCCAAATTCCTCAGCATATGCATCCAGCTCTCCAAACTCAAAACATTAGGTTGATCGATAAATAATTTCTGTTTTTTGCTTTTTCAGATCTATTCTGTAAAAAATTCAAGTGTCGTTACATTTTATTCAATTATTCATTATTATTTTCTACGATTTTTTTTATTCCTTATCAGGCAGGTCTCCGATAACTTTTGAGTCAAATTCCGCAGGTCTTAATATGAAAAAAGTTTTCAACAATATCTTGAATTCTGGTTCTCATTAGAGAAAGTTATCTCCAAAAAGCATTTTGCAATGATCGAAAAAAAAAAAAAAAAAAAAAGAAAAAAAAAGAAGTAATTATCACTTAGTACAAAATCAGTAAAGTAAATATTATAGTTGGCGTAGAGCAGACCAACCGAGTTCCACATTTTTTTCTTATCTTATTCTTGCAGTTTGCAGCCTTGCGTTTTTATCCCTTCATTCACTGTTTACGCGTGCAAAAATGTTATGTTAATGTACTCCAAATTTATATCTAGCTGTCACGAATATATTATCATTAAGATGATATATTCGTTATTACAATTGGTTCATCCCCCACCAAATAAATAAATAAATAAATAAATAAACACGGACATTACTAATGGCTCAACCTAATAAAAATACAGCCATAAATCAATTGTCTGATCAATTGATTTTTCCTAGTCCGCCCACCTAACCATACTGTTTTAAGCACTCTTTTAAAACACAACGGAAAGAGCTTACGCCAAAAATAGCCGAAGAAATTATAAATATTAAAAAAAAATATCTGATAACAAACTAAACGAAAATTAAAAAAGAAAAATGAATTCCCTCCTAAGGGAGGCGCCATTTTTGTCACGTGACAATTTGACATCCTCCATTAAGAAGTGACAGCTAAAATTGGAAACGGAATTCTTGATGATGATTGCGTGTTGCATATATTTCGATGGACTTAATTGAGAGCGTTTTTGCGCGTACGTGACTGCGCATGTGCATAAATGGGTATGACATTAGAAAGATAAAAATATTTCTCTTTGCTTATGTTTCAGTTTATGCCCGTGAATTTCCATCAGCCTGCACATGCATTTTTATAGATAATGGCTCAGCTTAGCTAAATCTACAGATAAGGCTCAGGAATACTGTGTAGCGTCAATTATCCCAGTGTCAATTGCCTGCTTGAAAATTAACATTCAAAACGGTGAATTTTACTTGTCGCGGCTGTAAAATACATAATTATTTTACGTATCAACTAGAATTAGGTATGGGCAAAATGTTCGTAGCGTTTTTTTTTTTTGAAAACTAGTGAAAACGGATTTTTCACTGGAAAAGTTTTCACAAACACAATGATCATTTGCTGTTTTCTAAGTTCATCGACTTATAGTAGAAAACCAAATTAAAGAAACTGTGTAGATATGATGATTGTGATGCGCCAACCGTGCAAGTTAGTTTAATAATGCTGGATTACACCTGGATTCGAAAACAGAGTATTTACGCATGATCTGATCGGCAACGACATCACCACCTCCATATATGCACACAGTACCATATATATATATATATATATATATATATATATATATATATATATATACAAATTTTAAACTACATAGTCTAAATAAAATGTTTAAAATGCCCTGCCCAATAATGAAAAAAAAAAACCTTTATGAAGTCGTCAAAAAAAACAAATGTTAGCGAATTATGACATTTTTTTTTATATACACAAAACCCTTTCAGGAAAAAAATAGAAATAAAATAAAAAAATAAATAAATCACCATAGACACTTAATCAGACTAGACGATGTCATCTTCCGCTTTGAATTTAGACACCCCAACCTTACCCTGACTTAACCTCTTTGAATGTAACTGAGATATTGATACAAATTATTAACCCTTACACCCCACTTTTTTTTTTTTTTTTAAATAATTGCTCTAGCCGTTACCATAGTAATTTTAATTTTAATAATGAATATGCTTATAAAACGCGTAAATTTCAGGAATTAGTTATTCAAAAAAAATTTCACTTGAAGATGGAACAGAGCGTGGAACTTTAATTCAATTTAATTCAAATAATTATATTGAAGTTTTCGGCTCTTGTTTTGAAACATGAGAACTCTTATGTAGCGATGGAATCATACTTTTAGATAAATAGTTATATTTAAGCTCTACTTTTGTATCGAGCACTGTTTTTAAAAAATACTAACAAAAATACTAAAGAACTTTGGATTATTTACCTTACAAGTTCTTTCCTATTTTCTACATTTTCCCACACACACACACACACACACACACACACACACACACACACACACATATATATATATATATATATATATATATATATATATATATATATCGCGTGTAACAACAAAATTGTCCAAATCATGTAACAGGATAATTTTCGATTCTACAAAATGTTTAATATCTAAAAAAAAAAAAATTAAAACTAATTCAGCATCTTTTTCCAGGTTTTCAGATAAAATGTTTAGCCATCTTGATGGCATTTGTCGTTAGAATCAGTTATTCAGCTAGAAAGAGATCGTTTTGTGTCACTGTCTTCCCAAATGACCATTAGCGAGAGGCAAAAGATCATTCAGGCCTTCAGTAATGGTAGCAACATTCATATCTGGCTTATATCTTCAAAGTCCATTCAGAAATTGTCAGAGTGACAGGGAATGAGTTTAAAAAAGAGGGAACAGTAGAGAGGAGAACTGGATCAAAAGAGCTAAAGAAATCAATTACAAAAGAATCAACTCAATCCATAAAACCTTCCGTACGTGAGAGAGGGCTTTCAACCCAAAGAAAAAAAGACTTGAAAATTAAAATTGTACGTGAAACCTGTGTAACTCCAGGACAGAAAGTTAGAAGATTAGAGAGGGCGAAGATCAGCATAAGTTGGAAAAAGATCCTGAAATATATATATATGAATTTTATTTCAATCCTTCATGAGCTCCCGATCTTTAGCTATGATTAATTAATGATGTAGATGTCCTTTTCGTTTATGATCAATTTTATTACGATTCTTCTGTTAAGATTAGAGAGCAGTTATACATTCTTATTGCTCAAAGTAGAGTCCAATAGAAATACAAAAACCTCCAAGGATTCCAATAAGATATCTTTAATCATTTTTAAGATATAATGTTTCAAAACTTGATCTAACACTTGGACAATTTTGCTGTTACACACGATATATATATTTTTATACATTACATTTATAGATACAAATATTTAAGTAAATGCTCTGTTTATAATAAACAGTATTTACCGGCCTGGATGTCCGAGAAAATTTCATAGAAAATATTCGTCCTCCGACAGGATTCGAACCTGCATCCTATACACAAACGTCATTTAGCTCGACATGTCTTTACCGATTTGGCCACAGAGGAGCGTTCGGTTAGCAAGGTCGAATTTACTGTATTTAAACTTCAATCTTCCATGAATCTCTCACGCGCATTCATATGTAAACAAATGACGGCAGACATTATGAAATGGACAAAGTCCGACAATTAATTTAAGACATTTTTATGTTTATACATTCTTTTTATAGATACAAATATTTAAGTAAATGCTCTGTTTATAATAAACAGTATTAAATAACATTTACTGGCCTGAATGTCCGAGAAATTTTTATAGAAAATATTCGTACTTCGACAGGATTCGAACCTGTATCCTATACGGAACCGTCATTTAGCTTTTATATATATATATATATATATATATATATATATATATATATATATATATATATATATATATATATATATATATATATATATATATATATATATATATATATATATATATATATATATATATATATATATAATGTATGTATTTAGTTATACATGTATACCCATTCAGATATGTATTTTCTCTTTCATCATATATATATATATACATATATATATGTGTGTGTGTGTGTGTGTGTGTGTGTGTGTGTGTGTGTGTGAGAGAGAGAGAGAGAGAGAGAGAGAGAGTTTATGTGTGTGTAAGTTTTATCCGGGAAAACCAACTATTTTGAATATCTCTAGAACCGGTTGCGCAGCATTGATCTAATTTAGAAATTCAGAGTAATTCATTTAGTGATTCAGGGATCTTACTCGACATGAATAGACAGACATCCTACTGTGAGGTTATTCAAATGACTACCAGATGCTGCTGAGTGACTTAGGTGTATGGTGTAATTCAGAAATATCTAGCGAGCAGAAAAAAAAATCATATTACTCAAGTTAGTCAGTCTCATTGGAATTCATATCTGGTTCTATGCGACGTGTGGCTATCACCTTTAAAAAAGTGCATCTCAGAACGTGGACAAGATTAAGGAGAGCGTGACGGGATAGCTGATCTTGAAATAAGAGACTATTTTTTTTTAATGAAAGGCGTCATTGCATTAATGTGTGTGGTTTTAAAAGCTTAATTTTGAAACAATGCCATTGCTCTAGGTATTCCCGTTTTGTTAACTTAAATTGACTAGCTCAGTTTCAAACAAAACGTACCCCCCACACACACAAGCGGAAGTGAAAGAAGGTTCGCCGATTATCTCTTTAACCACAACACTGTTAGAAGATCCTATGAAAAAAAGGATTTCTTTTTGCTGCTGGTTGGATCCCAGCGAAGCAACCCAAACATCCACTTAGAAGTCTATCATTAGTTCACGCATTGAATATTGCTGTTACATGGTACTGGTCACTAGCCTGATGCTTCTGCTATGTATTTAGAGATAAAATACAACGAATAATCTGCTATGTTATTGGTCGAAACCTGGCATCTTTCCCAGCGCCGTAACGCATCTTCCCTCTGCCTTTTTCTATAAATATCTTCATGGTAATTGTTCTTATGAGCTTTCCTCTTTGGTGTCTAGACTTTATGAATTTAAGCGCAGGACTAGATTGGCGGCTAGGTCTCATCCTTTTATTGTTGCAATGAATAGATGTAACTGTAAGTTCCTTGCTAAAAGTTTATTCCTTACATTCTCGATTTTGGAACTCTCTTTCAGCTTCTTGCTTCCCAGTCAACTTTGGTCTTCAAAAATTTAAATGCTATGTCAATCGTTATTTCTTAATTCCTATTCTTTTTTTTGTAAGCTCTACTTAATAATGTTTTATTTTTCTCATATTCTCTCACACTGAATGACCTCTTGTATCTTAGTGGTTTTATTGTCTTGTTTGGGGTGAAATGATAAAACAGTGCAGAACTTTTGCTCCAAACTGCCTGGAAGTACAGACTCTTAGAGAAATATTACTAATTAATCCGTTCGTGGCCGAGAGAAACAGAATTGGTGGCTTGCATGCCGGAGATAATTGCTTTCATTAATATTGGATAACTGGAAAAAATTCGTGTCCGATCTTCATTGTTAATAGAAAATGACTGCCACTTGACAATGGCGTTTGTTTTGAGCCCGATTTCTGATGTGTTCTACATTGAACCCTTGCGTCATTCTTTTGCAAGTCAGACTTTGTTCAAGGCTGACATCTTGTCCACAAATGACTACCTTAAACATTGACGATGAAATGTTGCACAGTCGCCACATTATGCTCTATGAGTGTCGAAAAGTATTCGGTGATGGAACTGCAAGAAAAAAAAAACACTCAAGAGATTTATCTGAATGGTGTGTCGGCTCTTTAGACGATCAAAGAGTAGTTTGTCAGATTTCGTCATGGTGATTTTAACCTAAACGATCAACCATGCTCCGGCTGACCTCCCGACATCGATAACGACGGTCTTCTTGCCATCGTGGAGAATAAAGTGAAGATTTCTACGGCAGAGATGACTAAGAGTTTGAATATCTGTATTTCAACTGCCTTTCGACATTTGAAGAGACTCTTGCTCACGAAAAATAGTCGATTTTTGGCATATCGAAAAGGTGTCATTTTCCACCCCGACAACGCAAGACCCCGTGTTGCAAAACAGACCTTGCAGAAGCTTAAAGAGTTGAAATGGGAAAACCCTCCAGCACCGACCCTATACTCTTGAATTGGATCCTTTCAATATCAATATATCAACTGACTTTCGCTATTTGAAAAAACCTGTGTTCGTTTCCAAACTCGACTCGTGGGTGCCACATTGTCTGACGGAACAGAACAAGTTGCGGCGATTTCTTTGCTGTTACGCCTCGAAAAGAAGCCGTTCTTGGACAGAATTGCTACCGGCAATCGCAAATGGATCGTTTACGATAATGTTCGTCGCAAATGAATATGGAAAGGATTTTGTGAATATGCAGAAGCCATGGCGATAGGGGACTTGCATCCAATAAAACGTTGCTGTCCGTTTGTTTTGATTCGGGGCGGGGATAATTCACTTTAAGGCCCTTCCAGAAACAATAATTGGAAAAAAAAATTATTGCAACCAATTAATCAATCAAAATATTCAAGAAGAACTGCCGATTTTGCCATCTCGAAAAGGTGCTATTTTCCACCACGGTAACGAAATATCTCATGTTGCAAAACAGACCTTCAGAAGCTTAAAGATTTGAAATGGGAAAACCTTCCAGCACCCACCGTTTTCTCCTTGTTCGAATTTTTTTTCGGTTCTGGTCTCTACAGAACATCTCAAAATGACAAAAAAAGAGAAGATTCTGTACAGTCAGTCAAAAACTACCTCATAAGCGTCTTTCAACAAAATGACATCAACAATCTCAATATTCAAGAAAACGGCCGATTTTGTCAAATCGAAAAGGTATCATTTTTCCCCACGACAACGCAAGAAATGGGAAACCCTCCAGCATCCACTGTATTCTCTTGAACTGGATCCTTCGGATTTTCATTTGTTTCAGTTTCTACAGAACAATTTGAATTACGAAAATATGACTCTGTACAGTCAGCTGAAAGCTACCTCAACGTTCTTCCAACAAAAACACGAAGTTTCTACGAAAATATCATAAACAAGTTTCGTAGAAGGACTGGAGACGGTTGGTAAAACAATACAGACTATATACTTGAATATTAAGTATATTTTTTAAGATTATGTAAAATTTTGTTTTTACTTTTCTAATCAGGCATGAACTTTTGCAATGATTCAATATAATTTGAGAAGGCATGAACCTAATTCATCCTCAACTATATCTTATCATTGACATGACCAGAGAAACAAGAAACAAAGAGACGAATACTTCGAAATGCCATTCTCCTCTCGGCAGTTACTGAGCTGTGTTGGGTTTCACACAAAATATCAAGTCTGGAACACTCTCATCTAATCACTTGTTAATGTGATGGCAGAAAAGAAAGCTGTTACCTTTATTGTCAACCAGGACGGCAACAACAACAAAAATCAGTTATTTTTGTTCTCTCTTTTAAGATGCGAACATATCTTTCGCACAATGTGAGAAATCCTTGTAAGTGTTTCGAGCTGAAGGCACACGGCAAATCAGATTAGTTTCTCATCTTCGGCATGGTTGTTCGTTTCCTTGCACATCCATCTGCTCAGGTTCGTTTGTGTTTCTGTAACGCCCACAAAACCAACCCGTGGAATATACAACAATTATGCCGTGCGGACTTTAGTTACAGTTCAATATATATCTCACCAGGACTACATGCGTTTGTAAATTCAGAGATTTACTTTCTATCTTGCTTGCAAGAGAGTGCAGTCTACTCTGGTAATTAATCCATATGATATGGGGTCATATTTTTTCCCAATGGTGTTGACCGAAATTCGAACTCGATTCGCCGATTTCCCATTACCAGCCTCTAACAACTGCTTCACATTCAAAGTGAGAGAAACTTAGAATTTCTGACTCGTGTGACCTTCATATTTATCATTGCATGACGTCAAGCTCCCCCTGGTCAGGGATCCTGTTGCGGAGAGCACAAGGTTGTGGCCGTCTTTCGATTTCAGGATGTCGTTTTAATTCGGTTAATATTTTCTGCGCAGACGACGTGTATCGAATGACGAAAAGCCGAATTAGATGAGAAGGGCTTATCATAACTGAACCTGCATCTACAAAGCCAAGATCGATAGATTCTCGGCAGTGGTTTTAAGTTCTTCAAAGAGAAGCTGCAGTCAACGAAAGCAGAACGAGAAATCTGTAGTCTTTTCACTTCAAATACAAAATGCCTCTGTGTTTAGATAACGATCCGAGGTCAATCTGACTTGTCTCGATGGACGCTAGGCGGGAAAACACTGCACATCTAATGACATAATGACAGCTGCTGACAACAGACTATGCAACCTTATTAATAAAATTTTATCTCGTATTTCTTTCTTCTGAATATCACATGGTTTTATGACATTACGAGTAACATTAACTTCATTCTTAGTTTTGTTAGATGAAATCACGGCTATTAGCTTTTTATTTGTATTCCTTTCATGTTAATTTTACATGATTTTTATTACATTATGAATAATAGTAGTAATACTATCTTGGATTATTATTATTAGTAGTAGTAGTAATAGTAGATGAAGAGTAGTTAACGATTATCAATTTCTGACCGTACATCTTTCATCTTTAAAGAAAACCTTTCATCTTTATCATTTATATATAGAATACAATTATCAGTTTCCTTCAGTGGCATTCGGTGATTTCGAATTATCTTGAATTTAATTATTGATAGATAAAACATCGTCAGGCACTATTAAACATTTATTCATATTTCTTTCATCTTAATTTCATTTGAATTTTATTATATTAGGACCATTTGTAGCAAAATGATCTTAAATTTTATTATTTTTAGATTAAGCATTGTCAGCCATTATTAATTGTTGCTTCGTATTTCTCTCATCTTAATTTCACTTACTTTTTATTATAATAGGA